ATGCTCTCTATCTCATTCTCTCTCTCAAATAAATAAATAAAATCTTTAAAAAAAAATAAATAAAAATACAGATGCTTGGGTCCCACTCCCAGAGATTCTAGTTAAAGTGGACTGGAGTGCAGCCCAGGAACTGAGTGGTGTTGTTGTTTTTTAACTTCCTAGGTAATGCTAATATGGAGCTAAGCTTGCGAACCACTGCTTTACAAATGCATACATTTTGGTGTCAGACTCCTCCTTCCAAAGGAAAGCCCAGGCTTTCTAAGGCCCTGTGATTGAAGCTTGATGGTTTAAGACATGTAGAGAATGGCAGCCAGACTCAGGTTCCAAAGCTGGGTCTGCTGCTGCGTGATCTTGGGCCAGTTTCCTCATCTGCCAGAGCCTCGAGTGTCCTCATATGTAAAATGGGGTAAGGAGAGCTCCATCGGACGTTACTAAGAGTTAGAGCTAATGGATGCAAAGCAGATGCTCCCTACCAGAGGGCCATTATTGTTATCATAGGCAGCATTTATTATGACTGATGAGAGGAGCCAAGAGGGCCAGGCCCAGGCAGGAGCTGCCTTCAAACAACTCTGCATGTTTTATAGGCTCACTGGGATCTGGCAGGCAGAGACTGGGAGGGTGGGGACCAGCTTTCCCTGACTCTGGGCAGGAGGGTCACTGAGCAGTGCTGATGGTGGTTTCCCAGGAAGTGGGGGGACTTTTGGGAAACTTCAAATTCTCCTTGACCTTATTTCATTAATATCTTTAACGTAAACTTGCTTTTAAAGCTTAATTCCTGTGAACATCTTCAATGCCAATTAAACATGATCTATGGCATCTCTTTTCCTCCCTCCCTCCCTTCCTTCCTGAACAGATGTGGAATATTCCACTGCACAGATGTGCCATAGTATTTCCCTGTGATGGGCATTCTTTTGTTCCTATTAAAAACATTACCATAATAAATATCCTTCCACATACTTGTTTAAAAACATCTTGCCCAATTCTTTTCTTAGGATAAATTTCTGGAAATGGAATTGCATAGTCAATGAGCATTTTTAGAGATTCTGACACATACATTTTAATTGCACAATGGTTGGAGATTGAAGGATGCACAATACCCTATCTTTGCTGCGACTTGCTTTGAGACCTAAAATGTGGTCATTCTGTAAATCTTCCATGTGAATTTTGTTTAACTATTGGGTGCTGTGCTCTGCACATTCGTTAAGTCAAGCTTTTCATTTCTTTTATTCAAGTCCCGTAGATGCTTGGTGACCTTTTGTAAGCTTGACCCATCAGTTATGGAGGGCGGTTTCTCACTAAGATTGTGGTCTTGTTAAATTGATCTTATTGTCTGCTTTACATATTTGGAAGCTATGTAATTTGGTGCATCCAGGTAGAATTATATGTTTCTGGTGAATTGTTCCTTTCATCTTTATGTTTTGGATCTCTTTATCCCTCAATAATACTTTTTCTTTAAAGTTTATTTTGTTTGATACCAATATAACACCATCAATTTTCTTGATAGTATTTGCCTGTTCTATCTTTTTCCCATCTCTTTTTCTTCAATCCCTTTTAGGGATTTGGATCCCAAAATATATTTGGGTATCTTCTGTAAAAAACATATAGCCTCATTTGATTTCTTTACCAAACCAACAATCTGTCATTAACTGGTGATGGTGGTCCCTACCTCTATTTATTATGATTTCTGGTATATTTGGACCTATGTCTTCATTTTATTTTGTGTCTTCTGTTTTTTGTTTTTTTTCTCTCCTTTTTTTTTCTTCTATTAGATTGAGTTATAAAATTTCTCCATTTCCCTCTCTTCTGGCTTGGCAATTAAAACTTCCCATTCCTATCCTCTTAGAGGTTACCCTAAAAGTTTTAACAATCAGGCTTGAGTTAATAACATCTAAGGTATTTAATATTTCAGAGTACATATGAACTTTAGCCCATCTTACCTCCAATCCCCGCTCCATGCCTATTTTATGTGCTATAGGGCCACTGAGCAATGCTGATGGTGGCCTCCCAGGAAGTGGGGGGGATGTTAAAGTTCCAATGTTTTAGTTCTTACTTTTTATACCCTCCAATCAGCCATTCTTATTACTATTGTGTTTACAGCCAATGCTTGCTTAGCTTTACCCACATTCTTACTATTCCTTTCAAGTTCTTCTCAAATCCTGATTCTGCAATCACTTTACTTCTTTCTGAAGTACAAATTTTTGTTATTGCTTCAGAGATACAATTTGTGTGTGGTAGAATCTCAGTATTTAGTATCTTTTGTAAATGGCCAGACAATGGATATAGAATTTTAGAGTGTCCACTGTTTTCTCCCAGAACTTTGGAATGATTATTCCGCTGTCTTCTGGATTTTGTTGAAGCTACTGTGGAGTTTGCCATCTATCTAACTGCTGTTCCTTAGTAGGCGATCTTTCTTGTTTTGATTGTTATATGATGTCTTTGCTTTTGACGTTCATTGTGTCTAGATATTTTATTTATCCTGTGCAGGACGTAATGCAATTCCTGAATCTCAGGTTCATTTCTTTGATCAACTCTCACCTATTCTTTTCTTGAATGTTCTTTTGCCCCCATTCTCTTATCTTTTCCTTTGGAACTCCTATCAGCTGTGTGCTTGACCTTCTCATTCTGACTCCATGTCTCTGAACCTTGATTTCATATTTTCTGTCTCTTCATCTCTCTACATTCTGGGCAACTTCCTTAGATCTAAAATTATATTAATTTAATCTCTCCCTAGCTATATGAATGTGCTATTTGTGTGTGTGTGTGTGTATGTTTGTTTGTCTTAAAGATTTTATTTATTTGACACAGAGAGAGAAAGCACAAGTAGGCAGAGTGGCAGTCAGAGGGAGAGGGAGAAGCAGGCTCTCCACTGAGCAAGGAGCCGGACGTGGGGCTCGATCCCAGGATCCCAGGATCATGACCTGAGCCAAAGGCAACTGCTTAACCGACTGAGCCACCGAGGTGCCCCATGAATGTGCTATTTAATTTATACATTGAGATTTTAATCTCAGTGGCTACATTTTCCATTTCTAGAAATTTGATTTGGTTCTTTTCCAAAGCTGTCATATTCTTTAGTGTTTAATTCCTTCTTTTATGTCTTTAGTTATTATGAACATTCTTATTTTATAATATGTATTAGACAGTTATATTATGTGACACTCTTAGGAGGATAAGCATGTGTGTGTGTGTCTGTGTCTGTCTGTCTGCTGACTCTTCCTCATAGTGGACAATTTCCTTGTGTGTTTTATAATTTGGAGAATATGCCTGGCCTGGGTTAAAAGTGTGTCTTTCCAGAGAAGTTTTGTGTTTACTTCTTGCAGGGGCCCCAAGATATCATAGGATCACTTTATCTGTTAAATTTTTAGGCATAGGTTCCAGAAATACTCAGCTATAAATTTGAACTCCAAATCTATATAAGGCCAAATTCACAGTCACAAGCTTCCAGAGGTTGCTTTTTCCCTCCTCTTCAGCCCTGGCTAAGACTGACAAGCTTCCTTTCTTTATAATTTCCCAATTTCAGTGCCGGGAGTTTTTTCTGGTTCACCATTCTACTGAAAGTAGGGTTATATTCTCATGGGGCTACTCAGTTCCAACCCCTACTCACACTGTCTAAAAACCTGCCTTGTCTCTGTATGTTCACTAAAATCCAAGTCCCCAAATCAGCAATATCACTGCTCCTGACCCCCACCGGGGCAACTACAGAACCATTTCACATGTTTACTGCTATGGTTTTTAAGTTCCTCTTTGTTTCTGGCACTAGGGGATTTTTGTTACTTTCTCATGAGCTTTGATATGCATTTCAAAGAATATTTGCTGTATTCTTAGTTGTTTCTTAGTAGGGGATTTTCAGGTTTTGTGGTCCACAATGTTAAGATTAGAAGTTGCATTTGTTCTTTAGATGATGGGCTAAAAGTCAAATCTATTGATCTTCACTTAGAAAGTTTTTTTTTTTTTTTAAAGATTTTATTTATTTATTTGACAGGGGTTGGTGGGGGGAGAGAGAAAAAGCAGAAAGGTTTTTCCCATACTGAGATTATTTTCCCATGCTTATTGTTGTGGTTTTGTTTCTTTACATGTAACATTTAAACCACCAAGAATATATTAACTTCAGGACAATCAAAACCTTACATAGTAGCAATAAAGCTATCCAAAAGAAACAAAAGAGAGCTTTACTCCAACGACATGACCTCTTACTAACAATAGAACCCCAAGTTTAACTCAACTTCAATTCAATCACAACTCAGTGATCCAGAGAAGCCACCAGTGTTCTTTATCACCTTGATTTGCTGCTCAGTGCAACCCAATGGTCACATTCCAATAAAACCGCATTCAACTGCAACCCTACATAATCACCATCTGAAGACCACCCAACACCAGGCAGGCACAATTGTGCCACGAGACACCTACAGACTGTAATAGAGTTTTCCCTTCTGTTTGCAGATAGAAGGAAAGAGAGTAGAATTATAGCAAAATGGACTCTCGTTTGTGAAAAAAATTGAATAGACCCTGAGATAACTATCCAGAGTTCTAGATACAGGAAGTAATAAAGGAAGAAAATCCTCACACTCAACAGTGTAGGAGACCTGCCTGTCTGGGGGGCCACCTGTGCCACTGGGACCGAGATCGGGCTGGCTCTGCAGTAAGAGAAAGCTTGAACTGAATAGCCTTCTCCTCCACCCAACCTCAGTGATGGTCCCAGAAGCTCCTTTCAGAGGCCACTGGGCTCTCTGCCAGCCTTGACCTGGGATCCCCTGGGGAATGGCTGTCTGTGGGTAGCTGGGCAGAACCAGTAGGGCGCTGTCTTTCAGAGTCAGGAGACAGTAGTCGCATGCCCAGCTCTGCCACCACTATGTCACCTCTTGAGCCTCAGTTTCCCATCTTTAGAATAAAGAGCTAGGACCTGATTTGATCTCAAGGAAAAAGAATCAGAATCAGAACCCAGACATTCTGACTTCCAGGAGCAGTCTTTTTAATAATAGCAACAGTGATAATAACCACAGACCACAGCTATCATTTATTTTGAGTGCTTACTCTTTATCAAACTCTGAGCCAAGCACATTATACACATTATCTTATTCAATTCTCATTAGCTTCCTATGAGCTTGATATTGTCATACTAATTTTACATTTATTAAATTAAACAAATACTTATTGTGCCAATGACTGCGACTAAGTAATTTGCTTGAGGTCACATAGTAAGAGCTGAGTCAGAATTCAAATCTGGCTCTGCCTGATTGACTCAACTACACCCAACTATCTATCCATCCATCCATCCATCCATCCATCCATCCATCCATCCACTCTCTGCCCATCCATCCTTCCCCTGAGAGAACTGCCTCTTATTGCATACACTCTCCTCCTCCATTACTAACTGCCATATCTCACGTCCCTGCACATTTCAAGTTCACCCTCAACTCACCTTTGCTTTCTAGCCTCTGGGCATCTTTATCCCCAACTTCTCACTCCCAGCTATATCTCTCAGCTCCTTAAAACCTGATCCTGACACTTCCTGTTCCAAGATGTCTTCCACGGTGACTCCCACCTTCAGAAGATCCTTTTGTGCTCTGAATCCCCCTCACTATCCACGAAGGCTGTGCCAGATGGCCGAGAGCCCATCACACCAGGATGCCCATTTGAGAGTCGGCTGCTGGCAGCCCTTACCAGGTTTCCAACCTGCAACATCTCCTCGAATTCAGTTGTCATGTTGTAGTGCTCCAGTGCCATGAAGAGTGTGTTAAGCACGATGCACATGGTGATGGTGAGGTCGGCGAATGGGTCCATGACCATGAACTTCACTCTCTGCTTGATGGACATCCACAGCGGGCAGCACTCCCAGATCAGGTAGCGCTGGGCAAAGCGGTTCCAGCATGATGGACATTTGCGGTGAGACTCTTCCAGCTCTGGGGGTGGGGGCAGCCAGTGAGCTGGTTTGTTTTTTTGTGGACTGACTCACATATAATTTGGTATTCCAGAAAAGACGTATGACTTAGCTGGGGAGAGGGCAGGGCTGCTACGTGACAGGGGGACAGTGAGAGGGACAGGGAAGGTTAAGGGAAGGTGTGGCTTATGTCCCGGCCCCTTACTCTGGAAATAGGATAGGAGAGGGCCACAGGGACAGGAGGTCAGGATGGATGTGGGGACAACTGGGACAAGACAGATTATGACAGATATGGGCTGTCTGGAGACAACAGTCTCACACAGACATGGGGACACCCAGGGGGAGGACAGGCTGAAAAGGACAAGACAACATCTGAGACAGGCAAGGTCGGATCTAAGGACACCCAAAACAAGAACAGACGTGGGCATCTGGGACATGTTAGGACAGATGGCGGGTGCCTGGAACAGACCAGAAAAGACATGAACACATATGGGACAGGAGGGAACAAGATAGGTGGGGAGTGGTGCCAAGTTCAGACTGGAACGGCTGGGGGTTGCCTAAGGTGGGACTGGCCGAGACAGATGTGGGATGCTTGGAATAGCCTGTGGTGGACATGGAATGGCTGGGAATAGGCTAGAGTTGGTATGCCTGGGCCAGGATGGCCCCAGGAAGGCATGAGGATGCTTGGGAGAAGACAGGATGAGGCTGGGAAGTGCCCAGGACAGGCCAGGACAGCTGTGGGGATGTTTGGAAGAAACACAGACATGGCTCTGGAGGATGCAGAGGCAATACAGATTGGAAAGCCTGGACCCATGGTGGGGAGGTCCAAGGCAAGCCCAGCAGCTAGGGGTTGCTTGGCTCAGGTAGGCTAAGTGGGAGGGGGCCCAGGGCAGGAGTGGGAGCGTTTGGATGACACCAGGGGTAGCCGACCTTCCAGGGCGCTGGTGAGCACACTGACGGCACTGAGGGCCCGCTGCCGCTCTCCTGGCTCCTCGAAGCCATCCATACATGGAGCCTGGGCGTTCAGGATCTGGGGCCTGCCTGGCTCCTCCGACGGTGTGGTCTGGGGGCAACCAGGAGATAGGCATCAGCCCGGGCACGGGGGTCCTGCTGAACCTGGGGTGGCTGCTGGGCCTGGGACAGTGGTCCCACACTTGGGTTGGGGGGGGCACGGGGAGACAGGATGGGGGTCTTGATGGGACACGGATGCTGGGTTTCTCTGCTCCCAACTCCCTCCCTGTTATTAACTACCCCCCCCCTTGCTAATCATTATCTCCATTCTCCTTTCTTCACCGTCTCTCGTCAGTGGTAATTCTTGAGTGTGAACAGGAAACTACATGTACCAAGTTCTATTAACCAAATGCTGTCATTATACATTAGTACATGCAAAAACAATCTGGGAGTCTTAATTGACCACAAGCTCCCTAGAGTCAAGAGCATAAAGAAACATAAAGGAAAAAATCTACCCTGCTCTAAGGTGACATGAACAGAAGCATAAAGCACAATGCTTAGACATAGCTGGTGGGAGCTTCTGTGGAGGCAGATTGGCTCTATCTACCAAGAAAAGTTTAAATTGGCTCTGTAATTCCTCATCTAGCAATCTAACTTCATAAATAATTATACATGTGCACCAAAAATATATATGCAATGATGCTCATTGCAGCATTGTTCCTAATACCATAAAAACAAAACCAATCAATAGAAAGAACATTAAAATCAATTATGGATACAGTCTGACTTTGGACCCTGATACAGAGAGTTAAGAGAAGGAGGCAGTTCCATGCGCGTTCCCATGGGAGCACCTCCAAGACAAACAGTTTGATGAAAAAACACAAAAAAGATCCGAAAGATCCACACGGAATCGTTAAGGTGAGTATATCTGGGGAATGGGATTGTGGGGGGAGGCGAGGGGGAGGGCGAAGTCTTCTTGCACTTATATGCTTCAGCACTGCGGGATTCACTGTCAATGCACTGGCATCATTTTTGTAAGCAAAAGAGCCAGATCTGCAGATGGAGATGCGGTGTGTCTGATAGACGGAGGTGGCGGCAGGAACTCTCTAGGCTTACTCAGAGCCCCGCCTCCCAGTACGGGGTGGGGGTGGGGGGTGGGGGTGGGGGTGGGGACAAGAAGCCTTCACATCAGCATGGCCCTGTGTGACCACAGTGCAAGAGGCTGAGCCAGGGCTGTGGAAGGCACGGGGCTGTTCAGCGTGCAAGCGAAGGCCTTATCATCTCTGAAGGTCAGAAGGAAGAGGGGCCTGGGCTACCCAGGACGGCAGAGTCAGGGCCTGGGGTGGTCACCAAATCGATCTGAGCTCAAGTTAAAGTCAACCTTTGCAATTGGTGGGACTGCCCTGAGATGTTGCCTAGGGAGGGAGTGAGCTCCCCGTCATGGAAGTATTCAAGCAGAGGCGCCTGAGAGGGCTGAGGAGGCTGCTGTTAACAGTGGTACCTGAGTCTGAGGCAACCACAAGCCCGGCCAGCTTAACTCACATTTGTGTCTTAAATTCTGCTGGTTTCTCTCCTCCTCCTCCTTGACTGTGGTAGTCTGAGTTATCATTTAGCAAATATTTACTCAGTGCTCTCCCACTGTGGGGGAAGCACCCTTCCCTGTCCCACTAATGACACACTGGCTTTGGCCAACGGAATGTGAGTGGACATGATGTGAACAACAGCACCTTCAGTGTTTTTGTGCTGTCTGCCTTGCTCTTGGGCTCCAGTAACCTTCTATGAAAACAGTTTCCCCAGATAGCTGCCACACGTTCAGCCTGAGCCTCAGCAGAGACATTCGGAGCAGCCCTGAACCTGACCCACAGTGTGGAGCCAAGCCAACGTGCAGCCTGAAACAGAGCTGCCCAGCCAAGCCCAACCTAGACCAGCCAGACCATGGTCATCCCGCAGAGAAGTCAGCATGAGCAAAAAGGCTCATTGTTGGCCACTGACGTTGGGGCTAGTTTGCTATACACAGCATTATGTAGTAATAGCTGGCTGATAGTCCACCCTAGCGCACGCTACCATCTCCTCCCTCTTTATACAGCAGAAAGGGATTCCCTTAAAAAGTAAATGATAATCCTCTCCTCCCCTCACCCCATGCTTTCCATCTTTCTTGGAGTAAATCCAAACTCTTTTATTGCCTACGAGGCACTGTATAGTCCAAATCCTAACTCATCAAATGCATTTTGTATCCCTTCTTGCTATTTCCAGCACACCTGACCCTGCCTGGCCCTCTCATGCCTCGAACATGTCAAGGCTTCTCTTCTTCAGGGCCTTTGTCTTTGCTGTTCCCTCTGCCTACAACATTGTTCTTCCGGATCTTTGTAGCTGGCTCCCTAAAATCATTTGCCTGTCAATTTTAATGTCGCCTCCTCAAGAAGGACTTCCCGAGTCTTCTAAGAGCCATCCCAACCCTCCCCCTAGCAACTCTTTGTGCACCATGACCTGTATTGCTAACCTGGAAATATTGACCAGTTTGCCATCTGTCTTCCTGACCACAAGGTAAACTCCCCGAGGTCAGAGCTCTTGTCTGCTCTGTTCACCACTATATCCCTGGAGCCTCCAACTCAATACAGCAGGCTGGCGCCGGACAAATGTTGGTTGCATGGATAATTGCTCGGGAATCAGAAGGCTTGGGTTAAGATCTAGCCCTGCCTCTAACTTGCTGAACAACCAAGGGAAAGGAGGATGCAAGTCTAACACGCGGAGGGAGAAGAAGAATGGCTGTTCCCCACCCCCATCCGGCCTTCTGGTCCAGGGGCCCTCCTATCGACAGAGGACAAAGGAAAGCTTCACCCTCCACCCCCTTGACTGGGATAAATTAAACATGAACTGTCTCTTGGGCTGGCCCTTCTTCCCCTCACCTGTCTTGGTGGATCACCCACTATGAGCCCCACACCGTGCCCTGCCTTCAGATTCAGAACTGGGCAGACAGGCCTCACTGGGGACCCAGTGGAGGCAGAGAAGGCATTCCCAGGGGCCTACAGCCCGCTAATCTCTTTAACTTTACAATGTCTCCATCTTGGTCCGCTAATTCTTTTAACTTTGCAAATAAGTCCCTTGGCCTGCTAATCCCTTTGAGGTTACAAATGGGCCCCACAGAAGTGAGAAAGGGTGAAGTCAGAGTTCCCGGTAATGAAGTGTTTGAACTTGGATTCCTCTTGACATGTGGAGCATAATGAGATGATTTTCTCCCTAATGAGATTAGGAAATTCTATTAGTGTTCTGCGCTGCTGACCTGATTCCACAAGGCTGAGACTCCAGGGCTGGACCTGCAAGGGGGCCTAGACCGCCGGGATTCAGTGTTCCTGAAAGGCCAGACATTCCACCCTCCAGGTGATGGCCAGTGCCCTCCCAGGCCCCCCAGGAAGCTGTGGTCTGCCCCCAGTGCGCTCCCAGGACCCTCTCTCTGACTCCCTGCTCCAGAGGAGTGTGACTGCCCCAGGCATACTGCAGTCCACGCCAGGAGTCTTTGCTCCTTCCTCTTCAATAATAAAGCTAACAGATAATAGTAGTAATTACCCCAACAGGAGGCAAGTACCAGTCTAATGACCAGACAGGTCTTAACCATTTTTAGTCCTCACCACAAATTGCTGACGTGGATATTAATTTTATTTCCACTTAACCGATGAGGAAATTGAGGCACAGAGTGATTCGTTAACTGCGCCAAGTCCCACAGCCAGAGCCAGAGTCTGAGCTGGAGCAAAACAGGCCATTTGGCTGTGAGCCCTCTCTCTTCAGCCCCACCTCCACCTTCAAGGCTCCCTGTCTTGTCCTAGCTTCCTCACGAAGTCTCTCCTCCTCCGTCTCCTGCAGGCCTTGGGTATAAGCCACACATGTGCCCTTTTCCCGGGTGGGCTGCCCTGGGCACTGTGTTGGGCGCAGGGGTCAGCAAGGACACTCCAGGGCTGACTGGGCAGTCATCAGTCCATCACGGGCTCAGCTGACTGAGTAATCAGAGCTCTGGCTGGCCTTTCACCCTCTGCCCTGTCCCTCCGCTACCTTTCTGATGGTAACTGCAACGCCTTTGCCTTTGCTGCCTAGGTTCCAGCCATTCTGGCCTCATGGCATTTCCTTCAAATAGGCTGGGCATGCTCCTGCCTCAGGGCCTTTGCACTGGCTGCTCTCGAGGCCTGGAACAGGCTTCCCTGAGATGATACAATGATGCTATATTATTATAACAGTATCGCAACATCAACATACTCATGATGTCCTGATTGCTGTACCCATATGAGATCACTCATCCTCACAGCAATCTGAGATGAGTGTTTTTAATTCATTTTACAGATGACAGACACACAGAGAAAGAAAGTAACTTGCCCACGGCCAACCAGCTGGTAAGCCATGAGCTGGAATTCAAACCCAGTTTGTGTCTAGAATCTGGGTGCTATATCACCCTCCCCCACCCCGAGTTTCAGAAAGCAGCCTGGCTCCCACCCCTGCCTCCTGTAGGTCTTTGTTTAAATGGCTCCTAATGGGTAAGGGTTCCTGCTCCCCCATACTTACTCTTGTCCTCCCATAGCACTTATTACTTGGGCTAATGCTTACCAGTTTATAAAGTACTGAAATATTTAGGCTTGGTGAATAATTGTTGCCCAGAACCCCGTAAGTATCCCCTGGCCACTCTGGCCCCTTTCCCAGAACCCCTTGCATTGCCCAGGATCCAGCAACTCCACGGGCTAACACTTGGCAAACAGAGGGCCCTCAGGACACTGGTTCTGTGCCACCATGGCATCTTGGTGCCCGGGCCTTACCAGTTGCTAAATATTTAACTCTTATTCTTCTTTGTCAACATTATATACCATGTATACATATATACCTATTTTTCCTCTTTCTTTAATGTTTGTCCGTCTGCCCCCATTATCATGGAAGCTCTATGAGGGCAGAGATTTTTTTTTTTTTTGCTATTCACCCCCAGAGCCCAGTATACAATAGGTGCTCAGTAGATACTAAGTGAGTATTTTGGACCTGGCACTGTTGACCCGTTTGGGAGACCAGATCTGCCCTGGGGCTGAATCACGGGGCTGGCTCACCGTGTCTGGGGGGCGATCCAGGATCACAGGGCGGAGGAGGTGGCTCCCTGGGGAGGTGGCCTCAGGGTTGCCCGCCCCCAGCAAGGAGACCACCCCGTTGCAGTCCACGGTGCTGTTTCTTTTACCATTGAGGGCGTGGCCGGGAGCCGAGGTCCCTGGACTGAGCTGTCCCTGGGCACTGGGCCGGCACAGAGGCCAGGGCACCAGCAGTGACGTGCGGTGGCTCTCGCTGTCCCCCGCTGTACTGTTTTCATCATCTGCAAAATCCGTCTCTGAACCCAGGTCTCGCCTGCGAAAGGTAAAAATGCTCCCGCGGCTGGAGCGCGGCTTCATGGAGGTCCGGCTGAGGCCGTGCATGCTGCTCAGACGATTCTGGGGGCACAGGGAGAAGGCACACGACCAAGCCAGCTCTTCACGTGCTCCCAGCCTATCCCCTGTGGTGTTCTCTGAGACTGAGAAGTTCTCTCACAGCAATGAGAGTTTTTTGTGTTTTTTTTTTTTTTGTAAGGAGGCTCCATGCCCAGCAGGGCTTGAACTCATGACCCTGAGCTCTAGATCTGAGCTGAGATCAAGAGTCAGACGCTTAACCAACCGAGCCACCCAGATGCCCCAAGCATTGAGGGCTTTTGCTGGCCACTCAGGAACTGGGTGGGGGCTGAGCTAGGGTGTGTTCAGAGGAGGGGGTACAGTCAATCCTGCATCATCTGGGATCTCTGCTCACTTAGAGCTTGTGCCTCTGGGGTTTGGAGATTCAAGCTGACCTGGGCCTAAAGATGTGGCTATGGCTGGGGAGGGGGAGAAGGAGGCAGGAAAGCTCCTGGTGGTGCAAACAGGCCTGGCCTGAGCAGGACCTGGGGCCATCAGCCATGCACCTGACTCACATGGGCATGTCCTTGGGCGTCTACCAAACCACACCACAGGGTGTCCCCCGGTCCCAGCCCCAGTCTTAATGCTGAGGACTTAGCTGCAGTTGGGGACATCACAACACCCAAACCTAGCTTGTCTCTCTGCCCAGACTTCCTCCACTCCAAGAATGGTCATGGGAAACAGGAAGGGCTAGGAGGGGGCTTAAGGATACTCTCTTGGGCTGTGACTGCACCAGGGGCCCAACATGATGGGCTTTTGATGCCAGACCCACCCAGAAAGGGCCAGAGCCATAGCTGGGGATTACCATTGCTCTGGGACCATCCTCTGAGTCGGACTTGGGGAACCTGTCATCTCCACACTCCTCTGTCCCCGAAGACATTTGTTTTCTCCTCTTGCTTCTTCTCTCATGGGTGGTTACTGGGGCCAAAGGGGACATCTCCAAGGAGCTGCGGGACACGGTGTCCACACCCCTGATGGTGAGGGCCTGGAAAAGGTGGAAGAGAGATGTTTTGGTCATTGAGACTTTGTGCAGCCTCAGGCTAAGGCAGGCTGGGCAACTCTCAGTATCTCACTTTCCCCATCAGGAAGTAGAATTGCACACTTAACCCCAGACAAAGGCATCATGGAGAGATGAGCTCAAACAGACTCAGGATGTTTTGAGAAAAATCAAAGTCCAGGGAAGAGGAAAGAAGTGGCTCATGTGTGAGGGACAGTTGCGGGGGCGGGG